AATTATGATAAAAAAAGGAAGCAGGAGTATCAGGAATTGGGGTAAATAATAGAGTTTTCTACAAAGAAGTGTCTCTGATATGCCTTGGTTATAGAGTCCTCATTCTGTTTTTTTTTTTTTTTTTGCTGATTCTGCTGTTGTCCTTATTCTGCTTCTTTTGTTGTTCTACCCTGTCAATATGAAAATGTATACAATTGTTAGTATTTGTTTGAATTTAAATGTTTAAATTATGACTGTTATTAGGATTTGAGATATTATTAGTGTTTGTTTTAATTTAAATGTTTATGATTTTACTTGCATTTAAATATTTAGTATATTTAAAATTAGAACTTAGATTGTTTAGAAGTAATTAAACTAAAATATATATGTTTTTTAACTGTTCGCTTTGCTTTGGTAAAGCGTGTCGCTTCGTTTCTCGCTTTTCGCCTAGGCGTTAGGAGCCTTGGTCGCTTCGGTTCGCTTTACGCCTTAAATAACACTAAATAGTACCATCCGCAAGAAACTTCAGGGTGTAAACCCTGCGACAGCCAACAGGCTTCACTCCTGAAGGTAAAGAGACAAGATCCCACGTATGATTACGGTGAAGAGCGTCCATCTCCGTCTGCATGGCAAGAATTCAATGGGGCTCCCTCATAACCTCTGAAACAGAGCGAGGAACCGGCGTATCTGATAAGGTCATACTATAAGCTCAAAATGTAGGAGAAAGATCACCATAAGAAACATAAGCACAAATCGGATATAAAGTCTTGACAGTCCAACTATAACAGACAGCTGGACGGCGATCACGCTGCGGATAACGACGCCCTAAATCATCATCCTCCACTGATAATGTCCTACCAGGAAAATAATTAGCTCAGTACCTGCAATCTCATCAGTACTAACAACAGGTGCATCAATATGTTCAACAAACTGAGAAGTATTACCCGCATCGCCTGAGGTAGAGTGGACATCAGCAGGGAAATGAGAGCGAGGGCGACGAATATAAACCTGCAAAGGAAGAGAGACTGGTGACTCTGTACTGACAGGGACGAGTGGCTCTGGTGGAGGAGAGACTGATGACTCTGTAGTGATAATGACTAATGGCTCTGGTTCCTGTGGTAACGGAAAATCAAAGGGAGTATCATCAACTGGAGGGGTAGACAGAGGAATAGAAGAAAAATAAGAAATGTGCTCAAGAAAGGTAACATCTAGACTATGATACATACGGCGCCTAATAGGATCATAACACCGATACCCCTTAGACTGATGACAATAGCCCACAAAGATACAACGAATCACTTTATCATCATGCTTATGACGAGTAGGAGACCGATCTTGAACAAAACATGTGCAGCCAAAAACACGAGGGGAGACCGAAAAAAGTGTCTGCTCAGGGAATAAAACCTGTAAGGGAGCCCTATGCTGAAAAACACGACCCGATGTACGATTACACAGGAAGGTAGAAGTCAAAACAGCAAAATGCGAATAAGATTTTGGTACCCCCATATCTCTAAGCATACAATGTACCATCCCTATTAGACTCCTATTTTTTCTTTCAGTAACTCTATTTTGCTCAGGAGTATATGGACAAGTGAGTTGCTGAAGGATACCCTGAGAAGAAAGGTGAGACACTAGGACATCAGACACATATTTTTTAGCATTATCCGAACGAAGAGCACGAACAATGACATTGAATTGTGTCTTAATCATCTGAAAAAACTGAGTGATGATAGGGAGTACATCAGACTTCCTATGCAAAAGGTAGACCTAAGTACGAGTATGGTCATTTATAAATGTCACATAGTATCGAGCACCTGACAAAGCAGTAATAGGAGAGGGTCCCCTAATATCAGAGTGTATTAGATCAAATAACTTGGGTGACTGGTGCATGCGAGGAATATAACTGGTCTGAACATGTTTCGATAGGGAACATATAACACAGTCAAATTTATCACCAACACAAGCATTGCTCAAAGCAAGAAATAACATACATAAATATTTAAAATTTGTATGCCCAAAACAGTCATGCCACAACTGAACAGTTTGTGATGAAAAATTATAACAATAAGTACTAGGCAAAATACTAGTATTCAAGTTAGGAACAGATAAAGACAAAGCAGGTGCAGATAATGGAGGAGGAACTGGTGAAACTGGAGGTGGATCGCCTAGATAATACAATCCATCTCTCTCATGTCTTTTGATAATAATCCTCTTGGTACTTAGGTTCTACAAATAACACGAATCAGATAAAAATACAACCGCACAGTGAAAATCTCTAGCTAACTGATGTACGGATAATAGATTCATAGCTAATTTTGGCGCATGAAAAATCGAATGTAATATAAAGCCATCTGGAAGGCGGACTGTACCCGTACTAACAATAAGGGCATGTGTCCCATCTGCTAGCTGAACTTGTGTATGTAACTATTCGTCAAAAGTGGTGAAGTGATGAGCCTCACTCGTTATATGACCATTAGCACCCAAGTCCAGCATCCAAAGGGGAGACAGACTGGCGTAAGTATGAAAAGCACGAGATATACTAGTAGTAGTCGCAACAGTAGTAGTCGGACCTCGAGAAGTCAAGGCTGACATAAGTCTATCCAAGTGAGAAGTGATAGCATCCATATCATTTTGCCAAGCAGGAGCAATGACTATAGGTGATGGTGCCTTACCAATGGCAACAACGTGGCTGCGAGAAGGTGGCTTAAGCTCCGAATGGAGCTTTCAACAAGTAGCCCTGAGATGTCTTGATCGGTCACAATAATCACATTGACGTGAAACTGCCCGTCTGCGCTGATCTGGGATGTCCTGTCGGTGTTGGTCCAGGCGACCAGGCAGTACATTCCAAGTGGAAGTACTAACAGTGGATGTCTCAACGGTAGAGGTGTCAACAATAGGGGTCTCAAGTCCCTCAATAGTAGTCATATCAACAACAATAGTATGGCACACGTGACAGCAAAAATAACTCTAAGATAAATAGAGGGATAAAATAAAGGAGAACAATATATCTCTAGTTGAACAATAGCGACAGATAAAGAAGGTCCAGAAAGCTTCCAAATAATCAGGTCACGGTGCCCAGAATTCCAGTAAATGAAAATAAATGATCTACTGCATCAAGAGCAAATCAACGGAGAAGAGAGTTCAACCCCTCTTAAAACAATCCTAGATATTGCAACTTGACAGCATTATGACGAAGACTGTGAACGACGAAGTTACAACGAAGAAAAAGGACCCGACAGTGGGCTGAGTAACAGTGGGCTGGTTTAGTATATGTTTAATGGGTTGGGTCTGGTATGTGTTTTCTTTTAGACTGGCCGGTGCTTAGGTATAATGAAGGAGGCAGTCGGTGCTGCTAGCTGTTTGGTTTGTATAGCTGTTGGTTTAGTATTTTATATCGCTTGGCTGTCGGTAGAGTTTTATGCTAGTCGGTGAAGTTTCATACCGGACAGTAACTGGGTTCTTGTCAGTGATGTGGGCTATTTTGTTGGCTGTCGGTGATGATCGGTTTGATGTTTTAAGAATTGGGTTTGGCTGTGTGGGTTTGCTATGGGTATGTCGGTGCTGTTTTGTTTTAGGTTGGGTTTGCTATTGGGTTTGGCTGTGAAGGATGGGCAGTGGGTTTGCTATGGGTAGGCTGTCGGTGCTTTATGGATTTAGTCGGTCAATGCTTTGTGCTGATTTTAATGGATTGGGTGTTTCGGTGCTGTTGGGTTGCTGTCGGTGCTGTGTATTGGTTCGTTGGATTGGTTTCGACTGAGTGGTGTCGGTGGTCTGAGTTATGGGGTTTTGTCGCTGGGCAGTGGGGGATTTAGTTGGTTTGTTGTTGGTATGGCAGCAGTGTGGTGGCAGTATGGTGGCTGGTGGCTGCAACGTGCTGTGATGAAGGCTGCTAATTGTTGGTGAGGATGACGGAGAAGGTTAGGGTTAGGGTTAGGGTTAAGGTTAGGCTCTAATACCAACTTGGAATAAATGTGAGTGAAAAGGGATACTCAAACTAAGAGTAGAGCTCCATATATATAGTCAAATAATAATACAAAGTGACCAAAACATCCTTGTGGTCTAGGCAAAATATAAAATCATAGTAAGGATAAAAAAGGGAAAAAAAACTCTAATAAACTAGACTATACTCCAACAAGCAGGATAGAGAGCGACTTGTGATTTATAAGCTTATTATGTATTCTTTCTTTTTGCTCATTTTATTTCTTGATTGGATCTCTTATCCAACATTTTTGATGTACTTCCCAATTTTGATTAATACACGAGTTTGTTTCCTATCAAAGAAAGAATGAATATGGAAAATAGAAAATTGCGTCCAGATAGAAACTGGCAGAGTTGTTTTCATGTTTTAATGATAATTGTTCCATTTGTGCTCAGTAGTTGTAATCTTTTTCTTGACAACTAATAGGAGTAGAGAGTTGTTATATTTTTAAACTGCATTCATCTGCAGGTTAAGTAACTTTTTCTTATCTCTCTGATTTATTTTTTCTTCTTTCTTTTTCTTTTAAGAAAACGAACTTGGCTTACCATTCAGCAATTATGTTCCTGTTGTTTAATCAGCATGAGGGAGAGAACCCTAATTCACTCTCTCCTTTGATGGCCCACTTTCTTTTCCTCTCTTTTCTCATTTCGTTCTTTGATTATTTGCTCGGATAATTTCAATTGTTTGGGAGGACAACATAGAAATACATGGTTATTTTCGTGAAAAAAGAATTTCTATAAGAATGTTTTGCCATTTTGGAAGTTTGAAATACTTCAGATGTCATGTAGCTGCAGCTATTTGTAGTTTGGATAAAAAATAACAGTTGCTTCTATTGTTTACATGATGACAGGTCTGAAACCAATATTTTAGGTCATTTTTTTTTTGTGCATTGCTGTATGCTGCATAAAATCAACCTACTCGTCCATTCGTGCCGAGGAAATTGATGTCCCACGTCATGTATCACTGCTATTTTGTTTGTTGTGATTTTCTTTGGCATCTTTCCTAATATATAATGATCACTGATTCTAATTCTTCGTATTGACAGCGGCATCCTTTCTTCAGCTTCAAGATGGGCTTTCCTTCAGCTATTGGACAAGCTTTGAAGCTTGCATGTGCTGGTTACCTTGTTTCAGCTGTGTTGACTATTTTTCTGCCTAAGACTTTTAAGAGTCAGGCTACAATGGGAAATTTCATTGCTGAGCAGATCATCTTTTACATTGGGACTTTTGTAGTTTTTCTCTGTTGGGAATTAGGCCATCATTTACATCAGGTGAGCTCCTCAATCATGTTATTTCTGTTATGACGGTCATTCTTCAATTAAAAAGCTGCAACTGTACATTGATTTGGCCGTATAGGTGCTACTTACAAAGAGATTGATATTCGCACCTCCGAAAGGAACAGCAGCAGCTGAAACAAATCCAAGTGAACCTCTTCTTTCAGCATTGGAAGAGAGCACACCAAAATCTCTTTTGCAGTATCTTGCATATCTTGACCTATGTATGGCTTGTGAGAGGAATGTTGATACATGGCGCAGAGCTGCCTTTTTCGAAGAAACAGGTGAGACTTACAAAAGAGTTCTAGCTGTATGCCTGAGGCCTCTGGAACAGCTCACACTGAAGTTGGATGGACATTTGAAAAGTTTTTCAGTCGACAATTCTTTCCTGCTGGCCCATCAGCTACACTCACCGACAGAACAATTAGTAGAGTCAAGTCTTTATGATCCATTTTATGAATTCCAGGTATGAACTTTATGTTATCATTATGTTTTCATTTATAGTTGTGGAGTGGTCAGTTTTTTTTTCCTCTTGTTTATTTGTTACATTCACACTCACAAGCTTTAGAATAGTCATGGAGAAATTTGTTGGTTATATTTCTCAGATATTTAGTAATATATTCAGATTGTCTTTATAGGCTGAAATTTTGTTTCTTTGCTCTGTTTTCTTTAAGTTTCAATTTTCTAACAAAATTTACTAGTGCTTGTTGATTATATGCCCACCCTGTTAGAGCTCTGGTAGTTGTATTTAATTATGTGTTGACACCAATAAGAATGGTCATGAAAACAAAGTGTGGAACATGGAAACTCTTGAAACTTTAGTTTGAGGGATATGCTCATAACTAGGGTTGCCAATTAACCAATCTGCTCATGAGTAGCTTGTGTTAGGCCCCATTTTGTGTTTTTTCTTGGTTAAAGTCCAATCTATAGTTTTAAAGTGTTGGCTGCGATGGATAACCCATTACGAAGTTCTGAGATTCGGGCTGAACGTAAATGCTTCCCTGTGGAATATTGGGATTTTTGCATTACTGAAAGAAGTCGGAAGTTCAGATTTTGTGTCGAATTACCTGAAGATTGTACAAGATGGGAGGCTTTGAAAAATGCTGCTGCTGCCTCATCTTTTTTTGGGGTGGGGTTTTGGGGGGGTTCAAGAAATTTGAAGCTAGCTACTTTGTATCCTGGGTTGAAGAGATAAAAAACAATAGAGTCACTTTCTTGAAGATTTCAGAGAAGTCTACAAAAGGAAGA